CCCCCCCCCCCCAAAAAAAAAGTGAGGAGCCTATGACTATCATAGGAGTCACACTGAAGGCTCCTGAAGATTGTCTGATATCCTGTCATAGTCTCTACACAACCCCCCGTAATTCTAGCAGAATCTCCTCTACCATCATCCCTCCCCTGCGGATTTCCTTGGATCCCTAAATCAAAAACCCTAAACCCNNTGCATCTGGGCTCTTGCGTGTCCGCCAGAAACTGAAGCCACGCCACACGGTTCCCAAGATCCCTACACTCCAAAGCCTATACTAGGCATACAAAGAACCCAAAGACCGAGTCTTGAGCCTTGAAACCTTATAACTCCCAAATTCGGGGTTAGGGCTGGGGGTTTGGGGTTGAGTTGGGGTTTAAGGCTATTTTCTAGGGTTGACGGTAGGGCTTACAATACCATGCCCCCCCAAAGCTAGCCCCCCAGATTTTGAATCCTACTAGGCCTTATCCAGCTCTATAGAATCCTTTTGAGCTCCTTCATCCTGGAGGTGGGCACGACGTTTGGGGGGATGGTATTCTAACCCCTACCAAGCCCATGGCTACTCAGCTACTTTAGAGGTCCTTATGGCCTACTTCGTACTTGCACTTACAAGGCAATGCATACTTGCGAAACGGAAGCTATCGGATTTTCATTTGGACGATAATTAGAAATTGCTAAGTAGGGTATAGGTACATGGGACCCCAAAGTACCACTTCAGCCCCTAAACTCGTTTCTCATGGAGACAGGCTTTCAGGATTAAGGGAGAGCTATGATGTCAAGTTCCCTAATGCCTAAAGTTTCCCTAGGGCTCCAGTTACCTAAATAGTAGGTTACTGGGCTATATAACTATAGGGTATATAGAACACAGTTCCCATTAGTTAGGTAACTGGAGCCCTGGGGTTTGTCATGGAGTAATGGAAAGGATTCCAACTATATCCGCCATTGACTCCGGAAAGGCATGCAAAAGCTTATCCAAGACACGAAGATCCTTTTACCGCAGGCTTGTTGGGTTCACGCATGAGCAGACTCTCCAAGCACTCCCTTAAAAAAACAAAGAGTGCAAACTCGACGCCCTAAACCTTGGAAATCAGGTGTTTCTTGCAAGGCCGCAGACCCAACTTGTCGAGTTCCACAACTCCTTCGCTTCTGGAGGGGGTTAGGACATGTTCGCGCTGTAGATCTCACATCAGGCGCAAGGATTTTGTGCTTAGGCAATCCCTTCACCAAACTATCTCGGTCAAATCTGAAAAGCAGCGAGATACTGTAGGATGCAGTGGGCAGGGTATCCTCCACATACTGTCCTAGGGAGCACCCCAGGGGGTCTATGTCAGTTTGTGAATTTAAGGCTTTCCGCAGATTAAGTATCGGCTTCCAGCTCGAGAGATCTACGGTTGATACCCCAAAACCTGCATGACCCTAAGTGTACTAAACCTTGTACGATGAAGGTTTAGGATTTAGGGTTTAGGGCTTAACAATAAGATCAGCAGGACTTTCGACAGCAAACAGATTTGACATGCACACGCCCGGGCTTTGAACGGGGTGCGTCGCACGCGGTATGATATTGGACAACCAAATGACACGGCAAATGGGCACTGAAATGAAACCTGCGGGTTTAGATAAGGATTTATACTAGATGATGAGAGAAATTTAAGAACCCCAAACCCTATCACGAGTCACAAGGACCCTACAAGGGTTATATCAAGTCACAGGTTGCTCCTTGCAGGCGTTGGGGTAACCCATTGAAAGCTGCAAGCAGAATCTACTATTTTTGGGGTGATCCCTTTAGGGGAGGCGTTTTAGGGAGTCTCCGAAGTCGGGTCCTCAGGTGTAGCCGTGTGATCATTTTACATGATGCATGACCTACCACATCAAGAAGGGATTGGTTTTAAGCATAGCAGCTAAAGTTTCTGGGTGTGGGGCTTATACCACATACTGGCCAATGCGCCCTGGACCTCTCCCAGCCCTTTTCTGCATTGAGTTTTCTACCTACCCCCTCAATCGGAGCAGCTTGCTCGACAGAGCCCTCACAACCCTCGAAATACAGACTCTATGACTACCATACGACTCAAATGGCTGCTATAGGGTCCCTTCTTTTGAACGGTGAGGCTACCAACATGAGCTATAGGCTAAGCTGAATCTAAACTGCTAGTATCCCCCTTAATAACTCCTATAAGGCTCCCCTAGATAACCCCCTTTAAGGAGTTTAGAACCTAAGCCCTATATCCTAAACCCTAAGCCCTCAAATGACAATGATTCTCTGCTTTGTCGGAGGCTCCAAGTTCAGCTGGATCGGCTCACCCACTGCAGGAACTCCTGGCCGGGTCGGTTATTCATCCTACAGTCCCCCTTAAGTAGATAGAATGTGGCAATATAGGGTTTAGGGTTTAGGGTTTGGGGTATAGTCCCCCCCTAAGTAGGTAGAATATGGGGTATGTTGAGGATCTTATTATAACATACCCAAAGCTATATTCTATCTACTTAAGTGGGACTATATTCCTTACAGTTTATATTACTGGGTGGGGGTCCACCCAGGGCATACTGGGGAGCTCTGGCGGGATCGAGCATAGCTCGCAACAAACATGAATCTGAATCAAAAGTGCTTGGTACAGGGGCTTAGGGTTTAGGGTTTAGGGCAGGGGCCTGAATATTGGTCAGTATCTGTTTGAGGTCTATTCGATTTACCTTGGTAGTTGTAGGCGCCTGTACGAGGCGTCAAGGCTGTCGGAAACCAGGAAGCCGACTCGCAATCAACATCTGAGGTTGAGGTCATGGGCCCCTAGTATGGGCCCTTAACCTTGGGAGCCTTCTATACCTACTATATACCCTATATGTACCCTTAAGGGTCCCTAGAATCCCCCTAAAAGGTCTAAGGCCCCATGGTAGGGGCCCATACTTAAAACCTTCTACAACAGGACCTTCAAGTTAGCAAAACCCATTCCTGAGCAGCGCGGCTTTTCATTCTCAACTCCACATTCCGCTCCGCAGGGAATGCTGCATATCCGGGAAGCCTGCAAACTGTCAGGCCTATAATCTCCCCCTAAAGTCTAAGTTTTTAAGTAGTCAAACTTCTGGTCTCTTTTTTGTGTACCCAACAAATGCAAGCCCGCTAAATGAACTAAACCCTATACAACCTAAACTGCCCTAACCCTACACCCCAAGTCCTCAACTCTATGCAGTAATTAGGGGTCCCTTGTCGCGGGTCCCCATTTGAAGGATCATGGTATTTGGAGGTATTCATTAGGATTCATTTAATTATGGAAGGAAGCTACTGGATAGCAAATTCAAACTGAATACCGTAGACCCCAAGCATAAGCCCTAGACGCAAAGACCCCAAATCTTAAACAAACTAAAGCCCTATAAACCCGCCCCTGCCCTACACCGGAAACCCTAAAACAGTGTCATTTAGACAATTTCAATTCCCAATCTAAAGCCATTTTGGTACTATTCCCTATATAAACCACCATTTGGGATGAGGTCGGGTGAGGTCGCTTCACATCGCCAGCTAAAGCCAAACTCAACTGAACTGCGCTCGTCAGCACCTGGTGCAAGGCCGCCGATGCCGGATTGGAGCCTTCGTGCTGGCGGGGCCGCCAAAAGGAGCGCAGTGCCTTGGTCAGGTGCAGACCCTTAAATTTTACTAGGTTCAGGGCTTAAGGTTTATAGTCCCCCTGAAGTAGATAGAACCTGGCTTTGGGTATATTACAATAAGATCCCCATATACTCCTATCTACTTAATGGGGACTATAATACTACTAGGTCTAGGGCTTAGGGTTTAGGGTTTAGTGGAGGTGCCTCAGTCAGCTTAAACCTCATGATTCCGGCAATTGCTTCGCCATACTCCAAACATTCACTGTATGTATTTTCCGTAACTTCCACCAATTGAAAATCTGATATTGGGAGTGAATACCATTAGGCAGGCAGGGATGAATAAAGGGATCTTGGCCACTCCAAACCCGCCAAAAGGAGCGCAATGCTCATATGACATCATATGACTCCTGCAAAGTAATCATGCTGGGGGTTGGGGTTTACAAATATTTTCTCATTATACAGTCTGCTTAGGGCTTAGGGTTTGCACACTGATGTGTACTGTTTTTAGTTTTTTTGGGTGCACTTCAAGTTTGAGCTCTCAAGCCCACTTAAGTCGGCTACAAAAACTGCGATGGGCTACTGCTACAATATGAACCCTAAACTGTACACCCTGAACCATCGAAGGCTACGGAACCCTATAAGCCCTAATCCCTGGGCTTCTGGGATCGAGCATCCCTGGAAAAGAAGATGGCATAGGCATAGGCATGAGGGATGAACCTATGCGTGCTGTGCCAACCCTTTTTTGCATCCGGCCTGCAACGCCTCTGCTGGGAACAGCTCTCAACCTGACTGAGCATAGGTCAGTCCCGGCTTCTCAAGCATGTAAGGATTTCTCTACATTCTTCATGCACGGATTCGAAACGATTTGCCGAAAGGGATGTCGGTAGCAGATTCCCTGGTAGCTTTCCTGCTTCTGCACCAAGGCTATCACCGCTACAGCCGACTCGCTGGCACAAAATTGGCAAGTTGGCAAACTCAGGATCTGCCAGTCTGCTGCGCAAGGCAAATTCTTAACAATCAAGAACCTGGCCTGAAATTTGTCAGGCCATGATTTTACAAGTCCTCAAACTCTGAGTGGTTGCGGTCAGTACAAGCTTGCCCGTGCGTTGTGCGCAGGAGCCTGTGCACTCCCTTGCCCGACTGCGACAGCTCAACAAGTCTTCTGGCTGTCAGTAAAAATTGCGGCCTTCATGGAAGACGGCTTTTAGCTGACTTTGAAGCCGGCCAGCAACAAAAAGTTGCTTGTACACAGATTAGACGCCCTGCACCACCTTCCAGGATAAAACCTTAGCCTTGCTGACATCCAGGTTTGCTGCACGCTCAGCCAACACCTTTGCTCGCAACCGGAAGCCGAGCTTGGTTTCCAGGAGGCCCCAGGCCACCAGCAGAGTCGCAAGCCACTTGCACGCCACCTGGACCTCTGAGCTTGATGTTGCGTCTACAGTGCGTGAGCGCAGACGGTTTTGCCCATCAATCCGAACGTCCAAGTCCTTCTGCATCAGTTCTTGAACGAATCGTGTACCATCTTGGAAGACACGACGAGCCGTGTCAAAGTGACCATTGTTCTTCTCTGTCAGGGCCAGGTTCAGCCACGTGCAAGCAGCAGCAGCGAAAGAAGGCACCTCCTTCGGCGGCGGCATGCTTGTGTACAATGTGAGAGCCGTGCGATAGACAGCTGATGCTCCATCCCACTTCCGCTGCCGTCGAAGCTCTGCTGCGCGATAGTGGAGCTTCGCTAGCCGCTTGAACATGGTGCTTTGTGGCTCGTAGTTTGTCACCCTTGCCGCACCCTTTAGGGCAGCGGTGTAGTAGCCAAGTGCAGCATCCCTCCTTGGGTATGTGGCCCAAGCTCTTGAAACCAAGAGGTCCAAGGTGCCAATGCAGAGGAGACAAGCACAAAGTGCTGAAAGAGCCCTGGTCTGCTTTCGGCAGATTTGTGCAGCGGCCATGGCTTTGTCGGCTCGCAGGCGAAAGCACGCACAGCTACGTCGGGTCCTTGAGCCACAATGGCTAGGGTCATTCCCAAGCGCTATAGTCTGAACTCCTAGTATGTGCCTCAATAACCCTTCTAATACTCCCCCTATATAATCCCCTATATATACTTTTGAGGAGTTGAGAATGTAGCCCTTATGGTCCCGCGTAGCTACCGTTCAAGAAGGGCCTTCAGGGTTTTTACATACGGGTTTCTGGCTTGAGAATCGAGGTTCAGGGCCCCTGCGTTCGAAGCACGGGTATTTTTTCAAATGCTGGGGGTCCTCAACAGCTAGGTACTTAAAAGCCATGAATTTAGGGTTCCAGGGTTGGGTTATGTACAGTTTGAAAGGTGGTACTTATGGTTGAGTTAAAGAAAATGAAGCAGGGTTGTGGGTAGTGTCTGCTAAGGCCCGCCCCAAAACAACTCAGCTTTTCGTAAACCTGCATGCTGAGTTGAATGCCAGGTTAGCTCTCCTCTTCCAAGCCCGAAAGCATGACTGCTAACTAATGAATGTGAGGACGGACTGCCCTAGAGCCAACATTTTCACCACAGTTCTCTTCTTGAGAAGGGGGAATCCTACCCTTGTGCTCTGAAGATGTCTGAGGGCATGCTTCAACCCAAAACCCCCAAATGACACCGCTACTACATCGCGGAACCTAGGGGGTCATTGGTGGCCTCCTTTTGGGGACACTGGATTCTACTAGGCCACCCCTTACAGTTCACCCTAATGGACTTTCTGTACCTTAAGACAGCCCAATTAAGGGGAAGCCTTTGGTAAAGGGGGGTGGTTGCATAGAGAGCGGTGGTTATAATTGTAAACCCTAAATCCATCAACCCTAAACCCTGGAAAGCCTTAGGCAGGTGCAAGCAACATCGGAGGCGACGTCCAAATGCAAACCGATCCATACCTTGCGCGTCACTGATTACCTAGACCCTCCATCTACCCTCTATATACCCTTGATAGCCAATATTAGGGACCATCTTTTTCCATAAGGGGTGCAAGGAGGGTCCTGGTAGAGGAATTTGGTAGCCCGAGAGGCCGAGAGGGAATACAGGGGGTGATTCTATGGGATTATATGAATATTCGTGGGAGATTCTAGGAAACAAGAGGTTTCGATGATCCCTACTGGCAGAACAACGACCCCATAAGAATCAAATAGCAGTCATAGGCCCTTCCTTCTGGGAGTTGGGCCAGCCCTGCAAAAACGCCCTCACGAATATCGAATGTGGAATAATCCCATACTAGCATATCATATCATAATGCAAATATTTCTGGAAGAACAGACATTCTCAATATAGCATAGCATGCGTGGCAGCCCTTAGATGTGACAAATCTGCTCCTCGTAGCTCCGGAACCCTGGCAAGAGGTCCGGCTACACCTCGGTTTGAGGCTTAGGGCGAGGCCTCCTTTCTGAATTTTGCGGCACGGAAGCCCCCTTTCCCAAAGCTCTAGCCTTCTGTAGGTACAGTTGATAAACGTGAAGAAACTACCTGAACCCAACAAGAGGAAAATCATACTTGCCCAAAAGCCGACAACACAGACGATTTCTGCCCATACTGTTGGGTCCCGGTACTATTTGTACACTCAGAGTCCCAGATCAAATGTTCTGCCTCGCCAGCTGCACATGCCTGGCACGCAGATACCCAGGATGTGGCATCCTTGCAGACAGCAAGAACCCTAAACCCAAAACCATTAGTTAGGAATTACAATAGTTACCCCCCCCCAAAGGTACCCCCCCAGATTTAGAACCCTGTTAGGCCTCATTAAGCCCTTTCTAGTCCTTATTAGCTCTTTAAACCCGGGGGGGGGTACTATTGTAATCCCTTAATTAGCGTTTAGGGACAGCAAAAGCTTGAGTACGTGAGGCTCGAAGCAGGGCTTCGCCCTATAAGCTATAGTCTTGGCTCCTAGTATTCCTCTTAATAACCCTAGGGGCTTAGGGCTTATGATTTAGGATTTAGGGTACAAACTCCAAGAATCCCCCATTTAATAGCTCCTATAAGACTCCCCTATAGAACCAATCTCCTATGTATCCCACCCCTTTTTTCGGAGTTCAAGCTGTATACAGCTCATATACTGCTAGTGTCTCTTGATTTTTTTAAGTTGCCTCAAGTTTTATAAGAAGTCCTTTCAATGGGAGTCCAAACGGCACAAGCCGCGTTCGTCATCAAAGAGAGTACCTCAAAATAGACTGAATCCACATAGACCTCATGAGTTGGCTGCAGGCTGAGATAGGCATGGCATCGACTTCCGTAGTTCCACTCGTACGGGCTATCCAAAACCTGTGGACCCTTACATTCCTAGGACTAGATTTAAGTCGATTCGGGATGCCCACAAAAAAGGCAAGGCCCTCTAGAAATGTATGTCTCCCCCTGGCTGCAATCGTTCAATGCTCTTTTGTAACTACAAAAAACAACAGGTGCCCTTGAACACTGGTTAACATCATGCATCTAGCTCTGTAGTATAGGAATGACAGGAAGTCATACAACCAATATCTTCATATGAGCTGTAGTCTAAACTCCTAGTATCCCCCTTGACAACCCCCATAATGCTCCCCTAGATAAACCCCTACATAACTCCCCACTAAGGAGTTTTAAGCCCTAAACCCTGAACCCCAAATCCCAAACCGCAGTGGAAAGCCAAGCCGGCAGCATTGCCGTCAAAGGCGTCATAAGCGGCGGCACCTGTTGAAGTGCATTGTGTGTGTTGCTGTTGAGGAACTTCTCTTAAATTACTAAAAGGTTCCATGATTTACCATAGTTCCACAACAGCAACCCAGTTGTAGCTTTGCAGTACTTGGCGGCTTATGGTACTTACATTGGGAAGGGGTTCTCCTCAATTAGGGTCTCTAGCATACGGGAAATGAGTCTAGAGTTATGTGGGCACTTGGACCTGAGAGATCGAGAATGGCCCAAGCACCAGGAGCACAATCCTGAGTCTGAATGGGTCCACCTCATGAAAAGCTTCTGTTCTCCCTGGTGCAAGTAAGGTGGTCTATCAGGGCTACCCGAGAATTATGGGGAGAACATTACATTAGTGATCCATTCAATCTATATCCACGAAGCACCCGGGAGCAGATCTGAATGAGAATCTACCACATCCTCCCCCCATCCAGGCACCAATGCGCGTTGCGCTGGCGATGGGGATGCCAGCGATGGGCTGGCTGCAGCCCAGATCTTCGAAGAACCTTAGATTCGGCTCAAAGTTGAAGGCTCCCGCTGGCAGGTTTCCTACCCAGAGAGCCCAATCTAGCTTTATTAAGGAATATACCTTAGACTATACTAGGACTCTTAGTATGGCTTAAGGCATAATCCTAACTAATTACGCGATATTGGGGTCCCTGGGTATCTAAAAAGATGACTAGAAATTCGATGCATAGCTTCATGCGCTATCGCTACAACCCAGCGAATGCTGAGGTTGAATCAATGCCTGCAATGTCTTCTTGAAAGCGAGGAACCCTAAACTCAAACATAAAGGAAACTACACTAATCCCAAACAAAGGCACATCCTTGTACCCCAAGCCCTGAACCCTAAACCGTAAATCCCTAGGTTTTGACGAGAGCTGAGCAAGGTGCGCGAGCTCAGCGACAGCCAGGGAGATGTTTGGCGTCGCCTCGGGAAATTCAGCCCAAAGAGTCCTGGTACCTATATAAAGTACATACTCGGGGCCCTAGGGTTTTAGGGTTTAGTGTTTTTTGGGTTCTAAATTCTAGGGCCCGCAATAGAGGGTAGTTGGATGGTCTCATAGAGTATATACTTGGGGCCCAAAGAGGTTCCTATGCAGCAGGTACTTTTGGGTCGGCGTATACATATGTACTAGGTAGGTGCCCGCACCCCCTGGGTAGGCTGGGATTGTTTATTTGCCGTGATCAGAACCAGAAAGCACTCTTCATGAAACTTTAGAAGGTAAAGTGCTGTTGCAGCCTTGGGTTTGATTTAGGTGTTGATGGTCAAGCCGCAGCCGTTACGGGTTTAGGGGCTTTGTATGGCTATGTATTTCAAGCCCTGCCGAAAGAACACTTGGCATTATCTTGCCAAATCTGTACCCGATTCAGGAAAGTATCGCTACCCACCAGGCCTACTACATGCCCCTAAACCCTAAACCCTAAACATGTGTAAGTAGTGTACCGCTGCCAGCCACCACCACCACATCCAAGACCAGGAGTTCTACTGATCATTTCAGCTAGTCTGAACTCCTAGTAACCTGGTATCCTCCTTAATCATCCCTATAATACTTCCCTATATAATCCCCTACATAAGCCAGATTTAAGAATTCTGAACTGAATACATTTAAGCCCCCCCGCCAACACAAAGCGCCAGCGGTTCCGATCTGCGGGGCTCTCCCAACCTTTGCATGCACGATTTAGGGTTTAGGGTTGAGGGTGAGGCTTCAAAATTATGTACTTTGCGGGTTTCTGGTCCTTACATGATGGATATAGTTTCTCCTCTTAGGGAACATGCCATACTGCATGCATCTAGAACTTGTCGGGGCTTTAAGGGAAAGCAACGCTGGCAGATCTTGCTCTACGAGAGTGGCCTGTGCTACAGTCTGAAAGGCTACGTGTTTCCTGGAGGCAAGAAAGATTTTGGGAGCGTGGCCACGTTGTCTACGATTAAAAGCCTCTTTGGCACCTCCATAGTGCGTATCGTAAACTTGGGCCCTGGGTCGCACAGATCTAGAAACCCACCAAAGTGACCAGTGCATGAAGAGAGCCCAAAGCTTCAGGGCTGACGGCCAAGGCTGCATACATGTGAGCTATAGTCCAAACTCCTAGTATCCCCCTTAATATAATAGTCCCCTACATAATCCCTTATATAACCCTTATATAACCCCCATTAAGGAGTTTAGACTATACCTCATGTCATGTTCCATTGTCTTATCCATTCGATTCTCCCCTCTTCTCTCTACATAGGCCCCTAAGCCCCAAACTGCGAAAATTCTTGCGGAAGCTAGGAGTCGAGTTCTGCAAGAT